GGAACTGATGCGTAATCGTATGGACGGCTTGGATTTATTTTGCAAACTGACGGTAGAGATGGAGGCATAGCTCTGGATTACATGGCACATTGTGAGTTATTGGATTGTGAGGCCGATGCCACGAACGTTATGTGAAACCTAAACACCAGCATATTATTTATGATTTCAAATAGTATTTATTATTTTGGCCAAAAAAAAAATAGTATTTATTTAATTTATATTAAGCTACGTATTTTGTTGTTTCATAACATAATTCAATAGACATGCATCTTTTTCAAAACCCATAAAATGCCTCATGCGTCTAAGCTAATCATAAATAATGAGAATTGATATATAATTTATATCTTTGGCCAAAAAACTATAATTTATATCTATATATAAATATATAAATATAATAATATATTACTGTTCTGGTCCTAAATATAAAATTTAATTTATTATAGAATTTATATTATAAAATGAGTCTTGGATCTGTGAACGAGTGTTTGGTTTTTTATTATGTCAGGAGAATGCGAACTTGTAGTATTAAATCACAGAATTGTTTTTCTTTTTTGGAGGAAATAAAGCAATGCGAATAGCGACGCTCACGCCTGTTTGATTTGGGTTATTTACAGTTGTGGCCCTTGAGCCATGCCCAATAAAGTAAAATTAAAAGCTGGCCCAAAAAACCTTCAGCCGAGGGCATTGAAGCGTCTTCCAAGTTTCAACTCATTTTCAACAAAAAAAGGCCGAAACCGTGCAAGAAAGCGAGACTTAAGTATTTGAATTAATTTATTTTAAGTGATTTTATGCGGTATGAAACTGCATAAAAACACTTTTGTAAGCGTTTACAAGAATTTCATTGCATCAATAAATTACAAACAAGAAATTGCGTAAAAATATTTTTTTTTTTAAAAATGCTTACAAGCGTTTCATTGTATGAACAGACCAAAAAGTTTCTGCACTTTGGGTGGATCATTAACAATCCTAATACCAAGTTGTGTTGGTGTATGCTTTGGTAAGTAAGCCAGTTAGCACGACTATGTGTTTCCCTGAATATGTGATCAGATATAACAATTCGATCCTTGATGCTTAGTGATAAAGCTTGAAGGGAGGGTGGGTCGAGGAATATGCTCGTTCTAAATGAAAGTTAATTATATGATTCATTCTGATTCTGAAGGACCAAGAAAAAAAAAGGGCGAATATAAATTGTATAAGGATCAAATATGATCACACTCAGCTGTCTCTTTTCCCCCCTCAACTTTTATATATCTTAATTTATATATATGCATAAGAATAGGGAATCCAACGATGAACATCGAAATAAACTTGTCACTTGACTGAGAAGATAAGAACGTTCCAAAAGAAGAATAGACTGAGGGGGGGGGGGCAGGACAGGAAAGAAGTGGCGTGGCTTAAAGAAGATAATGGGTGAAACTCTTTTGGGGATTTTTCAGAGCCAACTTTCACCTTTCAGAAGCAACGGCCGACATAGGGGAATCAACAAACAGCTCACAAAAAGCCAACCTATCTAAAATCTTCAAATTATTTGCTATTATTATTATTATTATTATTATTATTACAACATATGCCGGTGGGAATCAAATTAAAGCCTCTTGTTTTTTTCCCCCTGCAGTCTTTATTAACGACTCAGAATCATTCTCTTACCTCATCATATTACCTTATCTGACAATAATTCATGCTGTTTTAAGTAAATGTCGGAGGATTAACTCTTTGACAGAAGTCAAAATAACGTGTGACAAATTATTAACTACTATATTATATGCATGTTATTAGGTGATAAGCTTATATATAGAAAGGACTTCATTATTTCATGGTAAAAACATGGCCAAGAGATCACGTACGTCGTCGTTTTCTTAACTGTACTTAAAAAAAGAATTTCATCGCTATTTTGACTGTAATCACTTGATTTAGACATGTATTTCATATATATTCATATCCATCGCAGGCGAGCGATAATATAATTCCTAGTTCTTACGCAAAATAACAAGAAGAATTAATTAGTTCTGCTCTACATATCTTGCAGACAACTTCAAGCATCATATTTTATCATTCTTCCCTTGGCCTTTCCTGAATTTTCTATGTCAAATTAGAAGCTGACAAAACTAAGAAATCAGATATAGTTTTTTTTATTAAACAAAACATGGGATTGGATATATATAGCTATAGCATGCTCATGGGAATTAATTAATAAAAGAGCTTCTACACGTATACATATTGAACTTAATTATATCATCATTTCAAGCGGCCTCCAATGATTGTGCTCATCAATAGTTATTTATACACACACGTTACCTTGCGACGCTGTGGAAGAGTTGTGTCAAATGAAAGGAGGCTGAGGCAGACACATTACCAGTTTCCTAAGAAATAGGTCTTTTTGAATAAAACAACGACACGAATAGGGGGGAAAAAAGCAAAAAAGGCTAAAGCAGACGAAAAAAGAGAGAGAAGAAGATAGCACACCAAAGCAACAATAATAAAGAATCAGAGAATCTATTTACCCAACCTCATAGGCACATGTTTCAACATGGAATTAGTCCAGCGTCGGACAAGTGTGCCGACAAATAACTAACATACAGTGAAATGAACGTAAAATCATTGGAAATTAAAAACCCCTATGCTCTAATATTATCTGATTAAACGATCCAGAAATTATTAAAAGGGAAAGTAGATAAGATAAATCAAGGTGACGAAGCCATATATGTGCATATATGAAGCTTTTTGATGCATGTTCCTTTCTTTGTTTTGATTTGCTTGCAAAATATGTTGGGGAGTCACTTTCTGTGGTGGCAATGCGTGCATGGGCTTTATTAGAGCACTATAATAGTGAATGATAATAAAGTAAAAGATTTGGCCTATCAAATATCTTATTAGGCGTCTTGTTAATGTCCCTAATTACTCTGATGCAGAAATAGACTGAAGATTCCCGTTGAAATATAAGCCCGGCCAAAGCCAAAGGAAAATAGGAAAACACTCTCTTCTTTACTCATCATCAACCTGGCTAGCTTTTTAGTATCTCATCACATGCTTCAAATCCATGTGTAAAAAGTATCAATATAAGTTCACAGTTTCTTTTTTATTTTTTAGAAATAAAAAAATCCATCTTCATCACTCTTGATTAGAATCTTGGGTTAAACGTAATATATATATATATATATATATATATATATATATATCAGCAAATCTACCGGCGGAAGCGGCCGGGAGACAAAATGATTAATGTTTGATTCGAGTGAAATGTAACATCATTTTTTAATGACGTTAATTTGAATTGATTGGGTCATCTGTTGTTTCCTTTATTATTGATTTACAGCCCTGTTCTCCCGTTACACATAATTAATTACGCCAGCTACATATTTACCAGGTGTTTATTCATGAGATGTACCGTGCAAGTATAATTATAGTTCAGTATATAATGAGTAGAGCGTTAAATATTTGCAAACTAAATTCATATCTGGTTAACGGGGTTAATCGCTGAGGCAAAGAAGTGTGGGAGTAATTTTATATAGCACCATTTCTTATGAGTGGGCATATTGGCAATCTATTCGTTATCAGTTTCGAGTAAATTATCTTTGATATTGTTTTTATTATATGTACATGAAAAAGGATGTTTGAGCGAAATCGGAAGATGACTCTTTATCTTTTATACTTCCTATATACTTAGTATTTTTTTTTTTGGGCAGTAGAATGTACTTCTCCGGTCCTTAATATAAAACTCATTTAACTAATTTAATTATATTAAGAAAGTTAGGTAAGTTAGTTAATTAGAAGAAAAGTGACACATTTTTCCTAAAACACCATAATCATCTTTCTTAATATCTTCTCTCTCTTCTACTTGATTATGGTTGAGGGAATATCCATTGGGGTAATTTAGAGAAAATTGATAAATATGAGAAATGGGTCTTATATTTAGGACTAAAATCAACTTAAGAATTGGATCCTATATTAAGGACCGGAGGAGTATTTGGTTTGATCTGGATATCTAGGTTACAGATATATTGTTATTAAAATTTTAATATATTTTTTATTTAAAAGAAACATTATGCGAAATAGAAATAATATTTTATTGGTAACTGGGAATTAAAAATTTGAAGACAATAAATATAAATCTTAAAGTTACTGTCCAAGTCACATTTGGTTGATGCAAATATAAATATCTAGAGTTGAAACAACAACACTGTTGTCCTGTTATTTCAACAGCAATCCGAACACCGTTAAAGTATATTTCGTGACATTGGTTTTGCATTCTTTTAATTATTACATAGTTCCTCATTTCTGCCATCCAAGTGGGGCATAATTAGCTATATGGTTTTGCTTAATCATGGCGCTTAACCAACACAAAGAACAAAAAAAAAATGGTAGGTCCATATTCCTCTTCTTTTCCATCCTCTTCCTTCCTTTTTTTTTTTTTTTTAACCATTGGATTAACATATTTTAACAGTTTAAATTTTAATTTTTTATAAATTATTTAGAAAAATTTTAAAAACATTTAGAGCATTTCCAAACCATTCAAATTAAATTTTAAAATGGTTTGTAATTTATTTTTTATTTATTTTTATAATAGTTTTAAAAAAAAATTTAAATATGAACCGTTAAAATATTAATCTAATGGTTAAAAAAGGAAGAGAATGGAAGAGGATGGAAAGGGAAGAGGAGAAGTTCCGAACCAGTCCATATATACCATATATAAGATCCAAATAGCAAATAAGTTGACACTAATTAACATAAACAAATTGTACATAGAGGATCATATATATATTTTCACTACAACCTAATTGATGTATACCCCAAAAAATAATTTAAAAAAAAACTAATTGATCGACCATATACTTCTAAGCACTTGAACAGTATACCACATAACCCCTATTACAACTTGCGATCAAGCACGTGACTTGTTCCTCAAAGCCAGACACCACAAATACATCACAATGAACAAATTTTTGGTAATTTTTATACGAACAATAATTAATAATCCACAAAACACTATAAACACCAACGCTTCACAACAAGACCATGCTATTATTATCAACCTCGAAGGATCTCATAGCATCGACGCCATTCTGAAAACCACTGTTATCTTCGAGGCACATGTCCCAGAAGAAGCCGCCATAGCCATCATCGCCGCCGCCGCCTCGGGGGCTAACCTGGTCCTGAGTAGCGGTGCTGGTGGCGGCGGTGTTTGTTTCCCGAGAAAAATGGAGAAAGTTGAGGAGAGAATTAGAATGCTGGTTGGGTTGGGTGTTATTAATGAAGGTGGGGATGGAGGAAGTAGAAGAAGAGGAAAGTTGGTTGTAGGCGAGGAGAGGGAAGGTGTGGCTGTTTGGAGAAGACGAAGAAGCCAAAGTTAGAGAAGGAGATGAAATGGAATCCCACATGAGTTCGGCACTGATATTGCTGTTGTTGGTGTTGTCATCTGATTTGGTTTTGTGGAATACTCTACACAAAACCCAGTCTTCCTGTAATCATCAACCAAAGTTTGACCTAATTAATTAGCTTCTTCATTCGAATCTTAACCCTTTAATGCACGCACACGCCTTTATCTTTTCTCACTTTATTAATTTCAACACCCCTTTTCCCTTTTTCTCTTAATTTCCCCTATTTTTATCCTTGAATAGCTAGGATTTGGATAACCCTCTCACAAATTATCTTCCTTTTTCTTTCCTTCCTTCTTGCTTTCTAAGACTTGCCCATTCCACGTCCTTTATCTATAAGGTGGCGAAATTTTATAAGATCCCACTTCACATGCACGCACACAACCTCATTTTCAAAAACCACATAGGAATTGATTTTTGATTCTTTGACACACTTTCAAACCCTGAAAAGGAACTAGCTACGTCAGACGACTTAAATATTCAAATTAAATAATTGCCCTTAATCCCGTTGGCGGCTTTTGTTATCAAACTATACCTGGTTTTGTATATTAGCTAATTAATTAGAACTTGTTAAAATTAATTAATGGTAGAATATATATGCATCAGAATTTGAAAAAAAGAGAGGCCATTGAAAGGAAGAAATGTGAAAACGAACCTTAGGGGGCATTTGTGGGGTCTCCAAGCGGAACTCATGCATGATCCAACCCGTTTTGATACCATTGGGAGCTCTGTTCCTGTAGAACACCAACGTCTTCCTCATCCCTACAACCTCTCTCGTCATCGGATCCACCACCGTTCGATCCTTGCCCGTGGCTTTCCAATATCCAGATGTCGTCGCCCTATTGGTCCGAAACCCCGTCGCATATTTGCGGTCCCGGAAGCTGAAGAAGTACCACTCGTTCGCGTTGAGCTTAGCCACCTCTGCATATATAATTTACACAGTGAAGTTATATATATATTTATATAAGCGAGTCATATTCGGTACAAAAATAGGCACCATTGTATGGTTTGATCATAGTTCATAGATATGTGCATATGTCATTCATTAACTATTTTGTCTCTTGAGGAATAATTAGGTATTGCGTGAATCATCATCATGTCAGCTTCTTCATCAATATGATATACAAGGTTTCCCACTAGAAGGCCATGACAAAACTCTGGGACTTGGAATTGTTTGGAGGTTTTTTCTGTTTCTGTAAATTACGTAACCAGCTTTTCCTCTTTCTCTTTTTACCGTTTTTCACGGCCATTCACGATCCATATATCGATGCCAGCCGATGATGATGATGGTGATTTACGCAAGGAAGATCAAGAATCTCTTTTCATGTACACAAAAAGCCATTCTTTAGTTTGTTGAGAGTGACAGTGGATATATCACATAATATTGTAAATAATTAATGTAAACACGGAGAGATGAAAAGTAATTAATCAGTCAAAATCAACCTGAGAAGCACGTCGAAATTAGCAAATTAGTGACACGCTTAATGTTGGTGGAATGATTGAGGGGTCCAAGTGCCTATAATAATAACGTGATCGAACATGATGAGGTGAAAATGAAAACTCGTGAAGGAGTAATGAAGTGCCAGATGGTCACGTATCTGAGAGTGATTTTAACAACTGTTGTAACAGCAGTCTTACGTTGCTTGGCCAGGGTGTTTTGCTTTGTCAACTTAGTTATTATAATACATAAGCCTAAAACTCGTCACATCCGGATGATAATTATGTGCATGAATCAACTTACTTAGCTTCGGTCTTAAGATAAATTATAGAGTCTCTACCTAGCCATATCATCTGTATATCTGCCTACTCATTAATTAATTATACAACACACAGGAATATCGGCTTCTGTTCATCCCACATCGCTCTATATATATTTATGGCCTTACCTCGTGAATACTACAACATGTATATATTAATTGAGAATACAATCATAAATAACGTCCCAATTTATGATGTGTAAGCGATTAATGGACCTATATGTATAATTTAATGTGTGGGTAGAGAGAAAGGGGGGTACTGTGGTGCATGTGCATGTATCTGTGTATGGGTATGGAAGTAAACTAAATTGTTGGGGTAAGTGTGGGATCTAATTCTATATAACTTGCACATGAGAAGCACCCCTTGTCTGAATATATAGGCCATGCAAATTGAATATTATACCTTTGGTATGATATTGATATACCAAATACAGCTGAGAGAGAGAGAGAGAGAGAGTATTTATGTATGTATGAAAGTGGGGGATGATCGGATCCCCAAAATTAAAAAAAAAAAAATAGCGCACTATCGTGGAATTAAAGTAATTATTTGTAGTTTAGTATTTGTATTTTACTGGCCAGGACATATAATGAAAACTGATGCATGAGAGAAGGCCTTTTCAACTAAAGGAAACAATGGATCAGAAACAAAAAGAGACGGAAATTAAATAGAGAGACTCGTAGCAGATTAATTATAAAGAACTCTGATGTTAAGACGTCTGGTGTAGGAGGGCGCATGTGAAAGAAGAAGAAGAAGAAGAAGAAGAAGAAGAAGAAGGGGATGTATGCAGAGTTAAAATATTTATTGGGAGAGATGACATAATCAAGAAACGGCGATTTGCATAATCATTGAAGAATTGACTAATCAATGGAAACCCCTCCCTCTTTCTCTCTCCACAGCAGCAGACTGCGTATTCTATAGGTAACTATATGGCGAGGCATGTCGGTCTGCCTCGTATATTCAAATATTATCATTAATTGCTTCGCATGTTTGTTCGTAGACCATGGTCTGATTTCAATTAAAAAACCACCCAAAACCAGCGGGAGTACAAGACAACCACCTGGTTGCTTATCTTTTTGAGAAGTAAACCATATACAAACCACTCCCCTCCCTTCCTGATCATCTCATAAACCCAGAACCAAAGCAGCAATTAAGGATAATCTTTATATTGTTAAAATCTCGGAGAGATCATGCTCTATGTGACAAACTTACAAATTAACAAACCACACAGGTATCAGAAACAGATCGATTAATCAGAAGGAGAATCAGGAGACATATATATAAATCATACCAGGAAGCTGCCATGGCTCGCATGTATGCAGGTCGATTTCGACCAAAGTACCCTTGAGAGCTTCCTCGTTTGAGATCTTTTTGGAGAGATAATGGCACACCAATTCTTCATCACTGGGATAAAACCGAAAACCAGGAGGCAACGAAGCACCAATGTCTCTAAGACCCATGATTTTGCTGTTTGAATATGAGAGAAAGAGAGAGAAAACTAAAAGGAAAGCAAGGACGTTTTCGAAATATTTTTTCAGTGAGGTTTTTGTATTGTAGATCTGGACATAGAAATGTGGATATAATCTTAATGTGAGGGCTGGGTATTTGAACTAATGCTAAGGTGTAGAGGCAGAAACGTTGGTGCCATGTGTATATATAGTCCGGAAAATATAAGAGTCCTTGCCATTTAGAATTTCTCACTATAATATTCCATCAGGGACATGCTTGTATAACTGGTTAATTAGTTATATCATCAAGTTTCAACAAAAACCAAAGTTACAAGAAATCCCCCAGACTCATAAAGTCCACAACTATTATTGATTTGTACAGCTACAAATTGACAAATTAAAGGACCAGCAAAATTATGAGAGACCCTCCAAACTTCTCCTTTTTTATTTTTGTATTTTATACAGAAAAGTGGTTAATCCCACCACCCCACCACTTGGTCCCCAAAAGAAACGCTGTGATATGGTAATTAATCATAAACAGGAAATCTGATTATTAATTAATTTAATTTGTGCGAGACGTGCGTCAACTACAGAATCTACGTAGTGAGAATATAATAAACCGAATATGCTTCGCTGCGTTCGTCCATTAACGGTGAATATTATAGTTCGTGATCATTTTCGTTTACTTTTAATTAATGACGTTCGTTAACTTTTTCTGTACTAATTTCGTTTAATAGATTAGGGTTGTGGTCCAAAATGTCAAGCCATAGGAGACCTAGCGCCACCAAATTCAAACGAACGCTTTTTCTGGTTTGGGTTTGATTTTAAAGATCTCTTCATATATACGTGCAATATTTTGTTTTTTCATTACTTTTGGATGATTTAATTTTTTTTATTTATTCGTAGTTCATTGAATCTGGTAATTGTCACATATCAAGAATCTTAAATTTTTTAACCAAAATCAAGAATTTTAATTTACTTCATTTTTGGCGTTTTAATATTTGTGCACGCCTAATTTATGCATGTCAGATCAGTGGGCAAACGTATAAGAAGCACTACTAGAAGAGAAGATTTCTAATCAAGTGTCAAATCAACTCATACTTTTTTATTGATTCTGTGCACCAACTATACTATATAAAATTTTTACTCTCCATCCTTTATCAGACTATATATCTGTCTACGATGTTTTTTCTTAAAAAAAAAGTTCATGCTGAAAAAGCAGAAGCTTGTTCTATTGATATAAATTATTATCAAACCCAATAAAATCTCCATAGTATTTGCCTCGCAAACTCAAAAAAAAAAAAAAAAAGCTCGGGAACTAGTTTATGATCAGAAGAAAGAGTATAATATTATCCATTAATTAAATTACCACACTAAGAATTTGGTTTTAAAAGAACCAAACAATATAATATTCAAGTTAAGGAACGTCGGGGCTCGAGATATTGAAATGGATCTGGACAAGCACGTGAAGCATTTGATGAATGGATATGTTGATTCCAGGACATGGACGAGATAGATCTGGGAAAAACAGAAGAAATAATACAATCTGATAGCTGGAAATAGAATCTCTTTGATGGAAATCGCAAAGAAAAAGAAGAGAAAATAAAAAGGAAGTCCCATCTGTTCCATTTTCGATCACAGATAATAATTTACAGTTTGGAGCAACGTGACTGTGGGACACCCCACATTGTCTTTAATAAGGGGTCCCCCAGACGAAGACAGCCCTTAAGGCCCATAAAAACGTGTTGTACCTTATCTGCAAATTCAATTATTCTGTTACTGTGTGTATATAGAGATGTTGGATTTTGAACACCCTTTTTTTTAAAGTTCTTCTGGGGGATCAGGAGGCCAATAATAATGTGCATATAGACAAAAAGAGTATTTGTCACAGCATGGTTTATCTAAATAAATCATAATATATTATTATTATTACTATTACTATTAAAGAGCAAATATGACAAATTTAATTATCACTGGATTGTGGTCCCTCTCTGGCTCCAAAACACACACACACACTTGCACACTTTTATTGGTGATTCATCAAATATCCAATTAGAAATCCCAAAGCAGGGGCAGATTGCTTCTCTTATTTTATTTGTTTAATTTTCATCAGCATTATTATGCTAGTGTGTTTTATATCTTATTAAGGGACAAAAATATCAGTTAATTACATACAATAAAGCTTCACACTGGTGGGATAAAGGAGTGAGACTATGTTAGAAATACATGGATTTGTCCGGCTTAATTTAATTACAATTAAAACCATGTGGATAGTTTTGTGCGTTGTTGGTCGTACCATAGCGGAGATTATTAGGAGATTATTAACATATTTTTTTATAAAATTATTTTTAAATATTTTATGAACTAATTTGTTTTTGAAAAGTAGAGGGATCATGCGATACCAAATTACAAACAAGTATTGCCGTCTCTCATGCCTAACGCTACCCAATTTCCCTCCCAATCCATATCAAGTCCTTGGATAATTGAGTTTACGCTTAATTGTATATCGCTAGGGTGTATAGGATTTGTTATATTCAATATCTCCTTCTCTGGCAAGATAATAGTATTACTTGCAATCATTTTTGTGGTTCAGTGTTTTTAATGGCATCGTGGACTAATTAATTACCTCTGTCTTATTTATAAGATCTCGGTTGTAGACTACAACTGATGTCTTATAAATATGACCGGAGGTAGTACAAGTTAATTTGTTGAAACTTGATGTGATGATTTTGATATTTAATTGATATATATTGAAAAAAAATGACATTGTTTTTACATCGAAATGAGAGAATTTAGATAAATTAAATAATTTTTCATGATAGTAAATAAAATAAATAAAAAAATTATAACGCGCGTGATATACATATACAGATACGCAATATTATATATATGTTTTATTAATTGGAGCACATTAAAGAAAGAAAAGTGGCATTAAATTAAAGGAGATTACAGTGAAATGCTATGCCCGTCCCTATTATAAAAGCTTATTTGACTTTTATTTTGGTCCTAAATATAAAACCCCATCTATTTTGTCTTTGATATTTATTCATTTTTTCTAAAATAGTCCTTGTAGTAATTATACATGTTGAAGGTTTTATCAAATGGTAATTCTAGCTAATATACATAATTAGTAAAAGTATTTTAAGAAAGACAATATCTATTTATAATAAATAACTAACTAAACTAATTTCTTTAATCTCTCTAAATTAGTCAATTAGATCTTATATTAAAGACTGGACGTAGTATATGAGAGAGCAGGGGTAGATATTCACACTATAGATGTCTGTGAATAATGTGGCAAGGGCACTACTGGGGGAAAACTTAGTATGCACATTAATTAATGTGAATAAAAACAAGGAGTTAGCATATATATCCTATATACCCTTGGATTACTTGCAAAATGGGTCACTGCGGCCAATACATATTCAGATTCAGATGACACGTCATTTTCACCCCTCAAGTGAGAATATTTAATTGAATTAATGCAAATATCAATCAGTGGGGTCGCTTTTCCATATCTTACGTGGCAGTAACCATGGGCGAGACAGTTACTGTGTAATTATGTAGTGCCCATGATCCTGTCGGGAAAACAGTACATAATTAATCACATTAATTAACCTACCCTCACATACTATGAATCAATCAGATTAATTACCAAAAATTAAGGCACAAAAAAATGTTAACACTCAAAAGGCATGTATTATTAATTACTCTTATAATCATATTTATAAGTTATTTTCAGCATGTTTTATGTAAACTAACAAAAACTTTAAATTTAATTAATTCTTATTTAAAATTCAACAATTTTTTAGTTTTATCTCTATTTAATATACATGACTCTTTCGGTTCTAAATAATATTTAGGACTGGAGAAGTATATCTCATATAAATAAAGTTAACATAATAATAAATAAATAGTAAAGTTGTATATCCATACAAATTTTTTTTTCAATGCCCTATAAATAAAATAAAGAAAGTTTTTTTCTTTCTGTCTTGTGAATAAGACCAGAGGAGTAGTACCGCAAGATAATAGTATAATTAACGTGGGCGGATTAAGTGGATGGTGGTGATGATAAAATGAACAGTGTATATGGCAGTGAAAGTGATTGAGGTGTGTTTATACTTTATATTGAGAAATAAAAGATTTGATTAATTAGAAAAAGCCTAAATCAAAGGAGATGGGCACGCGTTAGAGGACACTTGGGATGCCACGTAATTAGAGTACACACGTCGTATTGTGGCAGGCTTTGACGTGGAACATTGATTATATGTATGATTTTGAAATTAATTATCATTAATTAATAATGATGTATACATATTTATCCCAGACAAGCAAAACATGAAGACTAGGCTAGGGCTTTTCAATTAAACTAATTAGGCATATAGTACAACTTTTAATTTGTTGCAGGCCTATAGGAGAAGAGGAGGGGGAAGGTGTTGGACAATGAGTGACGCTTTCATACTCCTTTCAATTTTCTTTCTTTCTTTCTTTTTTCTTTTTGATTTCAATTGAATGTTTCATCGCAATAAAAGCATATATAGTATATTTAGATTAACAAAAAATTCAGATTATATTTTTTTATACTCCCTCGGTTCCTTATTATAAGAGACGAATAATCGAATTACGTTGATCAAAAAAACAGTTAAAATTAGTTAAGAACAATCAATGTGTAAAAAGTATAATTTCTTTTCCAAAAATACCCTCATTAATAAGGAGAGAGAACATGAGAGAGAATAATAGTAATTATTAAAAGAAAGAGAAGTTGGAAGGAGAGAGAGTGTGAGTTAGAGACAATAAATATGGGTAAAATAGGAAATCAACACAAAAAAGTAGAGACAACTTTTAAGTGTCTCTTATATATAGAAACATGCAATAAGTATCAAATGTCTCTTATAATAAAGAACGGAGGGAGTACTAAATATAAAATCTATTTTATAATATAATTTATATTATGAAGTGAGTTTTATATTTAACGGAGGAGTAGTTTTTAATATGTTTGGATTCGGATAACTTTATGGGCAAATGAAAGAGAAGGGTTCATTACCCCTAATTAATTTGCATGATCATGAAATAATTAATGCAT